TTTATTCATGATTGACGACACAACTTTACTTCCTTATGTAAGAAAAATTACTGAAATAGATGTGTTATTTGTTCGTATATATATATNCATATATATATATATATACAGAACTTTTGCCGCAATTAATTCCGTGAAAATTATGATGGGCAATTTTTAAAATGCAAATATTGTTTGAACAAACTTTTGGTGGCCTAAACCATTAAAGTATGTAGAATAATTGGTGTATAAATAAATGTAAGGATGTATATAAATATTATTATTAACTGCAATAACATATTTATTGCTGAATAATAATAATAATATTTATTTAAAACTGGTTGCCATAAGGTTTTAATGATTCCAATATTATCCACATGTATGGGGGGTACATTAAAAGGGGTATAAGAATAAGAAAAATATCAGAAATGTCCAATATTTTTAACACTTCGGGTTTATATATCACTACCTTTTGCCACTAAAATACTTTCTTCAGGGTCAAACTATGTTATGAAGTCCATTTTGGGGAATTCTGATTTACGGGAAATCATTCAGAGAATGTTGAGTCCAGCTTTCACAAAGGTTTGCCAAAGTTTTTTTTTTTTTTACCAATGCCCACCTGGGGAATGACCTTTCGTCATACATACATCTGAAAGGCAAATTTGTTGGCAACTCTTTCTGGCGCATCATATTAGGTGGGCCAACGTTGCTCCCATAGTAAGGACAGATAGTATAGAGAATGAGAGAGCATCCATACCCTGCCCGGGATTCAAACCCAGACACTTTCTGATGCAATTATATATTAACAAAAAGCTTTGTTCTAATAATCCAAATTTGAATTTGATTTAATGTTCTCTCTGAATAGTAAAAGTAACTTAATCTACGGGAGCACCAAAAAGCTCGGTAATTTTTACCGAAGCGCTTTAGTAAATATTTCGATAAAATTAACAGTAAAATATGGTTTTATATTAGGCAACAAATGTTGGTAAATGTTGTAATTCTATCATGATACCTTAGAGCTTGGCATTAAAACCATTTATTCGGTTAAATTTATTTTTCAATTTCTTTATTTTTTAACTAAATGTGTTAACTAAAACCAGAATTTCCAGAAAACCGTTATCATATGAGCTGAAAAATTACAAAATGAATGGTTTGAATACCATATAATTTGGTGTTAATCACCAGAATTATGTTTTTTTAACTTTTTTTAAAAATAGAAATGTCATTAGCATACAGTACGGTAATTTTACCAGAATTTTTTTCTTCATGCATGAATTATATTTAGTGTTTTATTACACCATTTTCGGTGTTAGGATATACTAAAATCTTTTTACTGTGTATATTTTTATTTATTATTTTATAAAAGCTCGAACTCTTTAGCTCGTTGTATAGATCCGTATTTATATTACGATAAGATTCCATAAAGAAATTAAGCTGTTACGAAACAAGTACTGTGTGTATCTTTTTTTTTTTTGTTCAAGATATCTCTCATTCAACTTATATTGAACTATTATCTTCTCGCTGCTTATCTCAATCCAGATTCCTCTACGCTTTTATACACATACTGCTACTCAAGAACTGAATGATGAGTCCTGAGGGTGAAAAAAAATATGCGTTGGATAGGAGTTTTCCTGAAAAAAAAAGGATATCTATTTTGCAAGAATTGATGCCCTCCTTTTGTAGTCTATATCGGACGCACTCTTTCTCCAATGGACCTGCTCGTCTGGATATCTAGAAAGTGGGAAAAAACGGAATCTCCCTCGATTCTCCTAGTTTTTCCTTTTTTTTTTCTGCCATTTCTTGAGCTTATTTATTGGAAAGTGCCCTAAAACGTGGCTGAGTCTTCTTTGCAATATGCAAAGATTGATTTTTATATTTTAGATGTCTCAAATATTATTTTTTGTAGCATATTTATTGGCCTGTATTGGATTCGTTAGCTGCAAAAATAACTTTCAATAAAATAGTTAAAGAAATGGAAATTACACTTTTCCCGACTGTTCTTAACTTTTCCGATAATCTATGAAGTTTTGAGATACTATTTTTAAAGTATTTGACTACCTTTCGTGTAATTTTTTGTTGTTAATTTCTTACTTAATGGGCTTAATGAAATTTACTCCAAAACCTTCAGATTTTCCTTCCAATAAATATTTACTGTGCAAAAAGTATATAAGAAATACGAAAGGGTTCTAGAATTCTTGTAAATAAATAATCCAAATTTTCTCTTTTATTGTAGCTAAGATTAATGTTTTTTACTAAATTTATTAGGTTTAATTTTTTATTGGTATTAAATAGACTGCTTGTATAAAAGCTGAACGACTTCAAAAAATAGTATTCAACTTTTGTATTTTTGATTTGGATAAAACCAAAAGCGTTCTGCACATACAGATATTGACTCAAACTCTAACCTCTGATGCGTCAATCATTTGTAACTAATGTGCCTCCATATATTAACTTATCATGACTATATATTGTTCTGTAGTCTACTAAACTTACATAGTTCTGTAGTCTGTTAAACCGTTTTTTTTTTAAATTTTGTGATGTCACTGTATTGTTTAACATTTCTTGACTAATATAAAGGAAAATATTCAGTGTTTTACGCTGTAATTCCCCTAAGCTGTAAGACTGTCCATATAATAAGCGAGTAAATTTCTATTTTGCATTTTATTGCGGGACGCTTAAAGAGACAATTATGCTGTTAGATCGTGATAGGAAATATCAGGGTACAATTTCTATCCTAGGTGCTTTCTAACAATTTAACCTTCTCATATAAAATTCCTAGTTTCACTTCGTTTTTAAAATTCCAAGATCCGCCTATCCTTTGGAAAATGTCCAAACCCACCTTACCTTCACCCAATCATTGGAATAATTGCAAGACCCCTAAATATCACAAAATTAAGAGATCCACCTCCTTATAGAGATTCACCCCCAGAACCTGTCTACTCATTTATTTGAGAATTTAAGAACTGTATCATTACAATCGTAATATACTTAAATTCTACGTAATTTGTGTTGACGTATTTATTAAAACCATTTTCTTTATGCAGTTGGACTATTTAGGCTTAGACGACTAGCAACGGTTTGGTCTAGTACAGTGGTCGGAAGTACTGTTCTATTAGTAGCAAAATTAGTGTAGTCACTACTTCGTAGTTTGTAGTGAAGTATGATAATTCTTAAAAAAAAGTAATGTTGTGAGTACTGATAGTAATGTTGCGAACTGATAGTTGTGAGTACTGATAGTAGTGAAGTATGATAATTCTTAAAAAAAAAAAACAATCGTTTGTAATGATTCCCGCTAACTACTTTTCACGATAGCTTAGTAAGATTCAAACGCGAAAATAAGATTCAAACGCGATTAACTTATCGAATCTGATTGGTACAAGCCTTCGCGAGGTCTCCAATGGTCGTAATGAGAATGACCCCGTGGTTAAGCGTTAATAAAAATTACATATTTAGAATTATATATTAGTAACATTTAAGCTAATCATTACAAATAATAGCTAATTTGTCACTTTAGTCATGTGACAAATTACAATTATTTTGTTTTGTGACAAAATCATTACAAGTGCGAATGTACATTCATGAGACATTGATGTTATTCAAATGGAAGGAATCATATTTTCTCTGTAGTTTTCGATAAACTTTATTTTTAGGGCAAGTAAAAGCGCATTAAATACTTAAATTAATCGCAAATATTTTATAATTTCCTTGCATTTCTTATACTATTAAATATTCGCTATCGAGAAAGGGATTAGAAGTTGAGGGTTAAACGAATAAAGTCATAAAAAATCCTGAAAAAGAGAGAAAAGAAATCGACATTGGACATGCCCTTCAGCGCTCCATAAGCAAAAAATGAAAAGGACTGACTAATATGCAAGGCTATATGTATATATTATTTTTTAAAAAACTTACTAAGAAATTATACATTTTTTAAAATTTAATTTTTAGGGTCTCCAGAACGAATTAATCGATTTCACATAGAAGTCTATGGTGAATCGATGATCGGTTAACGAACAATTCGGATAGCGAACACTGCCTTGGAATGGATTATGTTCGTTAACCGATCACCCACTGTATTAAATATTCGCTATCGAGAAAGGGATTAGAAGTTGAGGGTTAAACGAATAAATTCATAAAAAATGGTTTAGAATATTGAATTGACTCATGTAAACATGAATAACTTAGTCTTAATAATTCCTCATGCTCGAAGACAATTTCTTTTTTCATTTTGAACATGGATGTAGTGAAAGTTGGTCTCCTAAAAGTAGTGAAATAGGGACTACATTTCGAAAGTAGTTTGTAGTCGCGTGCTTCATTTGAAACAAGTAGTTTTAGTTTTTGTAATGCAGTAGTTGTAGTTAACTACAAAAAGTGTAGTTTTTCCGTCCAATGGCTCAGAGGAATGTTTAATTAAAAAAAGTAGTTTTGATTCGATTTAAATAGGTTAATTAAATTGTTTTAATTGATTAGAATGCTGGAAGTAGACAATAAGAACCAAAAAGTTTGCTTAAAGGAGATTTAGATTAATAGATCAAAGATTATTTAGAGCAATTCCTCGCGATGTTTGATTTTTTTTAACTCATTGTACATGTTTATTAGTTGAAATAAATTCAGTCACAATTTTATTAAAGCAATAAAAAGAAATCTAATAGGCAATTGAATTGGTCTTTCAAAGCAACTTCAGAATTTATTCGCTTAAAAAAGATAAAATTAAATTAAAGAAAAATATTTTCATCATTCCTCATGAAAGTGTATACGTACTCTAATTTCATTTGTAAATCGAAGTTTTGCTTCACTTGACATTAGTGAAATAACTAATTAAATTAGTTTAAATTATTGAGCTAGTCTTTTCATCCTTCGCAAGAAGCAAAACTTGTTTACTTTGTTTAAAATAAGGTTTCTTAATGTGATTAAACAAGAATGTCGAAAATGCTAGAACTAGTGATTTACGAGAGAGATTTCAAATATTCTTTTTTTCCTTCTAAACTTTGCATTGCGTAATGAATTATACTTTTTTTTTCTTTTAGGTAAGAGAAATTCAAAAATGAAAATCTTTTTCTTTTGGATCAATAAAGTGTTATTACCTTGATGTCGAATGTAAGTTTTCTTTTCTAAATGTCTTATTTAAGAAGCAGTATAAGTATTTATTGTTGAAATTTTCACAATGCCTTATTTTTGATAAAATTTTGCTTACTATAAGTTGCTAAATGCATAATACATAGGTAAAAAAGAAAATTGTTGTATAGATGTTTTTTTATTTATTAGTGCCTATAACTAAAATAAATTTGCAAAAATATGGAGTTCTGATTACATTTTATGTTTTCGGTGAAATCTGTTCCAAAATAGTTTCCATGATGTTTAAAAAAAAAACATTTTTCAACCATTATCCATCTAACTGATGAAAACGAAATTAAAAAAAATAACAGTTGTTAAAGAGTTTCATATTTGAATTCCCAGAAATATTTTATATCCGTTGTTGAACAGCCGACCCAATTTTGGGTTTACGACTACTAATGTTCAACTCCGCAGCCTTGTAATTTTGAACCAATCCAGAAGACAAGGAAACTCCTGGATCAGTACCCCCGGAGGTATGATTTGTTATGGAAACATAGATGACTTTGTGACTCGGTAGATTTAACGTGCATCAGTCATCATTCACTACACGAGGAGTCTTTGGCTGGCGGGAATCGAACCCACGAACTCTTGGACTTGGGCCCAGAGCCCTACGAACCAAAATATTGTGAAAATTAAATGCCAGAAATAATAATAATAATAAAAACTTCTTTTAACTTTTTATTTCTGCCACAATAGCTCATAGAGTCGCCCTATTAAAAATCCACTACTGCATATTTATTTTAATACACCCATTATAGTTTTCAATTTTTCTAAGAAATACACAATGTAATAAAAACTTTCGCAAGTATATAATATTTCATTCAAGAAAAAAAATACACAAGGGATACACAAACGAATTTTATCTTAAATCTTCCCTTAACAAAAGGAATCTCCATTTAAAAATAACCTTCCTCCCACACATTAGAAGCATTTTATTATTTGGTTTGTCTAAAGTCTTGGATTTCATGTTATTTCAATTGCATTAAATTACTTAGTATAGAGAACTTCGACTTTTAATATTTCTATCTCTAATATATTTGTCCAAATGATCTAACTGACATCATGTGTATTGTCCGTACTATGATGCGACCATCAAAATTTTTCTCCACAATTTTGTCTTTGCGCAATGTACTAAAATGATTTGTTTTCTCTATTTTGCTACAAAAGTTACAAGAATGTTACATAATTATCGAATTTTGCAAAAAAAACATAGTTAATTGAAATTAATGAGTCGTAGTATATGATCCCATATTTCAAAATTTAAGAACCCGATTTTATCTATAAAAGGTTTTGTCTCTTATAAAAACAGCACAATTTCTTAGAATACATTAAGCCCGTTTCTGTATGATCACTACTTGAAACTAAAATAATCAATTTTTGTTGACTGCAGACTGTTTTATGTAATTAATATAAAAATTACCTACACAAAGTTATGCAATTAGGTGACTCAATCAGTATTTATTTCTAATAATAACGATTAATTTTTAAAAATTGCTATGTACAAGGAAACAAAGTGTTAGGGTGATATATTTTTATTCCTAAATGCAAGCTTAGCTATTGTAATTATTACTATTTAAATAGAATTTTAAGAAAAATAGCAAGTTCATAAATGTGGAAAAAAACGAGTGATAAATTTTTATGTCGGAAGTTTGTTGAAGATGACGTATTTTTTTTAATACGTCACGCAAATAATTATAATTAACTAATGATAATTAACTGTCGCGAAATTACACGCAAAGCATTGGTAGATCTTTTTGACACAGAACATTTGTAAATTGATAAAATCAGGAAAAAAATTTTTTTTTGCATTTGTGAAACGCATGATACTTTTTGGCCGGGAATTCGCCCTATTTTCTCAGCCTTTTTTTTTTTATCTGTATAACTAATTATACAAATTGGCTATTTCAAGTACTTTATTTATGACATTGCCTCATACAATTATCTTTAACACTGTTAACATATATATTGCTTATTATCTTATACATTTACTTAAGCAATCAATATTTTATTATCAAGATAAGAGAAATTATTCAGATTTATAAGCTTAGAAAGGTGTCTGGTATTAATCATATCTATTTATAAAGATCTTACGTAGAAAATTTTGTTTTGTCAAATAAATCATCATAGGATCGCGAAATATGATATATTTGAACTTTTTTCGCGGAAAATGAAATTGAAGAAAATAAACATTTACCCATATCAATCGTTTTAAGCTTTCAAGCTAGTTTGATAGATTAGTCACGTGTTTAACCCTAAATGATGAATTTAACGATGATGGAAAGTCAACTCATTGATTGATTTGGAATTTCGAAACAATTCTGCGATAAACATGATTTTGTCGTCGATTTCTCTTAACACTTCAGTGATTAGGAATCGAAATTAGAAAGAAGTAGAAAGCATGAACGATTTCTTCGAAACATCATAGCAAATTTCAAAATGAATAGCGTCTTTTTCTATTACAACTATTTATTTACAATAATATCTCACAGCTGTTTGAATTAGTAAACAGTGACAATCTAAATTCATCGGAAATTCTACTCATAAAGTTATCATAATTTTTTTTACTCAGAGATATGTGTTAAACCATAATTTGCTATATATATATACATATAGCAGGACTAATTCAAAAAGCAGCAAAACCAGGAAATAGTGAAAAACACCAAACATCATTTAAAGCATCCCTTAAAGCAGTTATGACTTAAAGTTATATTTGTTTTACTTTATTTTCCTCTTCATGTATATATATATATATATATATATCNTATATATATATATTTCGGAGAAAGCTTCGTAACAGCATTTATTAAAATAAAATTAAATAGAAATATTGCAGTATCCTAATAAACCTTCATTTAATTGTTAAAATTATTTGAAAGAAGGTTTATTTTCTTTTTACGAAAAAGTCTTAAGAGAAAGTTATATTATCTATGATTTCCTTTTCAGCATATGGTTAAATTCATTTCGACAAAACGCAAACATCTAATTAGTGATTCGACTATCCGACCAACTACATTACTTTACTTAACATTGTAAATATACGCTGAAAAACTAATTTTAGAAATGTTGCAACGCAACGAAGCAGTCAAGCATAGAATATGCTGATAAAAGAAATGAACAAAAAGACAAAAACTTTCGGATGTTTTCTATGCAATTATTTAAATCAAGCATTGAGTTAGGAAAGAACAAATGGGAATACAAAGACGCAAATGAGAAAAATTGGAAAATTTTGTTATTTTAGAAGTTGCTGTTTACAATTACTTCAAAAAAAGATAAAAATTTATGAAAATGACAGCGCAACACAGTAATGAGTAGAATTTTTAAACACACTTTTTTTTTGTACATTTTTGATTATATTTATTTTCAAGTTTGTTATGTTTTTGCATTAATTATTTAAATTTAAAAAAAAACTGTTTTTTATGAAACTAGAGTACAAGTCGTTAGAAAGTATTTTGTAGTCATCATAGGCATGGCTAGTATTGGTAATTGCGCACTTTAACTGTAAAGAAAAGACAGTATTAAAAGTGGCAAGAATGGCCTAAGTTTGTTTTTATGAAAAATATAGCATTTAATTCAGTTAACTACGATTTCAGTGGCTAATACAAATACCAAAATAACAATAAAGCAGATTTTAACTGCGTTTGATAAAGTAGATTGCATTTGAAATTTCCCCAAATTAAATTAATTGACATCGTTTTAGTGAAACTCAAGAAATTTTAATTTAGTCTATTTTGAATTTTAATTTATGATGTCCACTTTATGGAGTTAACAAGTTTTAAAGAAAAAGTATGGCGTCTTCTTTTGATTACTTCAGGCTTTATAGGAGCAACTAATATCAGCATTAATTACATCCATAATTCTGAGAAAAATTGTAGGTGGTTTTTGTTGCGTTGTTCTAGGAAATACAATAAATTTAAAAGAAAAAAGAGAAAAACTCCAAATGAAAAATTAATCAATCAAAGTAAACGAACTATAAAAGTTTTCTTTGGATTTCTGTTTAAAAATATTTGTAGAGGGTAACAACTTAAAAATGTGTGATAAATGTGTGAAAACTTAGAAAGGTGATTTACATTATAGAACTTTTAAATGTAAAAGGAAATTATCCTAAACATAGTCAAGTGTATACACGCACATTTAAAACACACATAACTAAAATCCTATAGTAATTCCTATCCTATAGTATACTTTACTAACCATGGCATGGAATTTAACAATGAAACTCAAAACAACATTCGAAATTCTCCCAGCAAAATGGTGTTAGTGGTTTAAGTGTCCCTGTGGATTACGATAATTGCAAATCTGCCAAAATGCATTCCACCACAAAAAAAAATTTTTTCTCATTAATTAATTTCAAGGAACCGTAGTGCTTCAGGAAATGGAGAGCGCCACTCGCAACGAGTGGACCGGGTTCGAATCCCAGCGATGGCTGGTAAAAACGAAATCCACCTCCCGCTCACATCGGCCGCAGTGCTACTGTAAATTATCGTCAGTTGTGGCACATTATGGGTTAGAGTCCTCTTGCCGTCAGGCTAACCATAGGTAGTTTTCGTGATATTCCTCTCCATGTAACGCAAATGCGGGTTAGATCCATCAAAAAATCCACCGCAAAAGCGAATTTCTCCCAATATTCCATCCAAGAGTTCCTTTGTCTTCTGGATTGGGTTCAAAATTACAAGGCTACAGAGTTGAACATGAGCAGTTAATCTCAAAATTAGGTCGTCTGTTCAAACACGGTTATAAAATAATATAAAATTAATTTCAAGCAAATCAAAGTTTTACAACTTACAAAACTGCAAACATAATTTATATATTTTGTGTCTATAAATTTTATTTTTCATTGTTTTGTTTAGAAAAAGATAGTTTTGTTGGATATTTTAACGCTCTATTCTTAAGTTTGCCATAAAACATTAGATGCTTATGCATTTATAGCTAAGACTCCATTTGGCTTAGACCCAACCTTTGCAAAGTTGGAGTTCTTTTCCATC